ACAGTCAATGCTACAAGACTATTACATTTTTTTTGGCAATGCTATAACGAAATTGCGCTCGCAATGGGCTTCAGCCTTGGGGTTTTTTTTTGGACGATTGCCTGATCTTCTATTTTTGGCTATTTCGAAATTGCAACGAAGGATTTTTTTCCGAGAAAAAAAGCCGAATTTACACAAAGAATCATGTCCCCATATCTGGCCCACCGAGTCCCACTCAAACAGCGAGACCCCACACAGCCACACAGACAGAACTTGCATTGATGAATCTTGAGTGTGCGAGTTCGTTCTGGGAGTGCAACGCACTCAAAGACCCAGAGGGGGAATGAATCGTTTCACAGATAATCTAGAGATTATTCTAGATTTGCAGACAATATCTAAGAATACGAAACTGTACATGTAATATAGAAGGTGAGTCAGACTGTGGCGAAGTCTCTTTACAAAACCCACACCCCCACACCCCCACACCCCAATCCTCCATAGAGAAAAATAGAATAAAAGAAATCGTGAATCCATAAAACGAATGAGATTTCATGCAAAAGATATATACGGAGTCTCCCCCCACCCCCCACCCCCCTAATTTACGGTCAGGCAAATTGCTATAGTGAAAGTGAGACCTTATACAGAATCTCTTGACCCAAAACGTTTAAAGAAAATATTCCCAGTTGGAGAACATGTACAGAGTGAAAAAACCTGAGATCTATAGCGAGACCCGAATCAGACACCGGAATTTTGTATATATATATATACAAAATTCGGGTACACTGTGTTTACAATCAATCCTAGCCAACTTTTTAAATTACAGACATAAATAATTACAATTAAATATTATTTAAAATGATATACTTCTTTACAAACCATCTTTAGATTAAATGTTTATATTCGATTAACCACATGTATTTTGCTCATGACATTTTAGGATCTTTAAAAGTTACATATTTTTCTTGCCTTCAAACTCAAGAGAGAGAGAGATCTCGGGTATATGTGATCGTTTGGATTGACTAATAGTGAAACCAGCTACGTTAATAATGTATTCAAATGTTTTTTAAAAGTCTATCAGCTAAATAAAATACGCATGCAAACAAACTTTCGTTTTGATATATACAACTTTTATTTTAACAACACATAACTATCAGATAATGCAACTGAACTGCAGCTCACAATACTGATTTATCATGTTACGATGCTGTGTGATCTCGGTCGAATGTTTGTAGGAAATATGGAGAAAATACATTTGGAAATGTTTAATTTATATACACTGTACATTAGGGATCAATTCACACTTGCTGTGACTGGTTCAACCTCATGTGTTTGCTTACATAAAGCATTCAACTCGTTACAAAACTGAATTAGTCGCGTGTTATAATTTTCAAAACACGTAAATTTCAAAAGATACCGAAGCCTTCAAATTGCCAACCGTTAGCATTGGAAAATAGCATTCAAAGTGAGTCGTTACTAAAAATAACATTATCTGAGTTTGCAATCTGCGGGTCGCTACTGACCTTCCACTAGGCTTTAGCAAAGTGTAATCAAATGTATTCCATGTTATGCTTCGTTAAAATGACTGCATCCATCCACCCACCCACCCATCCATACACAGCCCTCTGAGGACTGCGGTCAATTCTACACGCGTTGAAGAAGGGTTTTTTCCCCCCAGTTTAAAATGGTATTGTTTAATTGTCTCCTATTTAAACAGAAACTGTGCTGTTTTTCTGCCCATAAAATAGCAAGGAACTTTGTGCACAGCAACACCCCCCCCCCCCCCTCCCCTCACACACACACACACACAGACACACACGGCTTGTCTCTGCTAATTTAAGGTGTGTGTATTATCAGAGCCCAGTGCAAAAACAGAAGGGCTGACGTTTCCTTTTCTCTTGACGCCTCTGCCTGAAAAATCTCCCCACCCGCCCGGTCAGAAAAGGCACCATCAAAACCTTCCGAGAAGCATTGCAGACAGTGGCGATGTTATCGTCCGACTGATCTAAATGATATTAAAATAACCCAGTGAGAGGCGATCTGATTGTTTACAGCTCTCGGTATAATTAAATTCACGTCTGACTGCAGGAGCCAGTTGTAACTAACAGATAACAAGCATCACCAGCGACCTGCTAATTAATATGTATTCATTCTCTCCTCTTAAGAGAATTGCACCTCTCAATGACTTTGTGATGAAGTCCCGATCATTAATCGAATTATCTTTGTTCCTCAAAGGGTGATTTTGTTTAGCGGCGTGGAATTTAGTTTGGAAAGATTTTTTTTTAAGGGGGTGGGGAAAAATACTTACATTTCAGCTTCTTTTTTGAGCTTTGCCAATTTTTTTGATTTCCTTCCGAGCCGTTTCTAGTTTTAGTTATCTTGCATTTGAGACCGAATAAATTAAATTAGGAAGTTTAAAAAGTTAGGTGTCTGTATGTTTCCGAAATTTACCTGTTTTCACACGCCTGCATGCATTTGTCAACTAAATACCCCAGTCGTTTATTTGTGGTCTTTTACCACAAAGAACGTAAAATAAAAGTAAACTTTATAAAGTTACTCCACCATATTAACTTGGTACACTGACCGAGGTACAGCCAGGCATCCTGAAATGGAAACATCATTACAGGGAGAAAATCTAGTAAAGATTGAGTCTTTTGTGCTTTAAATTGCAAATGTATTGAGAGGTTAAATACAGTGAAAAATTAACATCGGGAACAAAATTCACATTTTAACGTGGAACTGGGTGGAAATACAGATTTTATGTGGTGCTGTTTGAGCTTTTTTCTCTCTCTTTTTTCGGAATGCAAGACCTTTGCATCTGCAACTTATACTAAATGCAAGTATTATTATTTTAAGTAGAAGGTCTATAAATTATTATCAAACTACACAAAGGGTCCTCTTTGGTCGATGGGATGTAGCTTGATTTTTTAAAAAATTGACAGAATTCTCTGCTTATCTGCAGTGAGCCATTAATAGCGGAGGTATAATGTTCTATAAATTATTAAATCGCAAGAAGCACGATGACACCCAGAGAGTTAACATGATTTGCTTCAAGCTGTCGCCTTAACCCCCCCCCCCCCCCCCCCCCCCAGCTCCTCCTCACCCCCTCCCCGAGCCAGGGTTGATGAGGGAGAAGCAACAGCACAGAGTCAGCCTGACCCAAGGGCAAGAAAGTTGTTTTAACTTTTATTTCAACTTATATTAACATAATTTTACAAATACCTCTCAGCGAAACACACACACACACAACACACACACATCTTCGCATATAAATAAATACATCTATGCATATAAACGGATTATTCAGCTACTCACTCCCCTAAAAAAAAACCTGATTATATTTCTGAAATGAAGATTTCTGTTTCGCCTTAAAACAATCAATCCGCTGGCTGTTGCAGAAAGTTAGACAGACACACTTAAATCTCAGGCCGTTTTATATTTATGAAGCAAATGCCAGGGTGATATGCTTAACCTGGTGACACCGAAAAAGAGGAGAGGAAAAAAAAATCTTGTCTTGATACTTTTAACGCTGTTAAGGTCCATTCTTAACGTTACTTATCTCAGTCTAACCACTCTGTGTGTTGGGATAAAGCACGGATAGAAATGTGACCTTGCAAAGCAAAGGAATGAATCCTTGCCCACCCCCACCCCACCCCCCACCTTATAATTTGCATCGACACAGTAATGCCACGTAAAATTAAAAAAAACATAAATTTGATGAGAAGTAAATTTTGGAACGGTTTGTTGGCATAATTGTGCGTTAAACAAAATCCACACGACAGACATTTCCCTTTGCAATCGCTTTAGCACAAACCCTATCTCAACGTGTTGAAAAAAAATGCAATCTTACGTTATGCATCGTGTTGTAAATTAGGCTAAATAAATATAACCAAAACCATATCAGGAGTTAGATTACATAAAGAGACCTCAATATCCCAGATTCCGCATTTTTTTTTCTCTTTTAACACAATCAGTGTTGTAGAAAAGCACGAAAGCGGACAAAAGAGCATTTGCAGCATTATTTGAAAAAAAATTGGCAGTCAATTCAACAATACAGAGTCCCAGAGCATCGGTTCACTCGTGTGAGTGTGTGAGTGTGTGTGAGTGTGTTTCTTTAACAAAAAAAACTGTGCGTTAATAAGGTCGCTGTGGACTAATAGATTGATTCACTCATATAATGGAAGCAGTCACTGGGGAGTGTTTAACTGCTTCCCCGTCTCTCTGAACGCACAAGTCTTGGGGAGAGTTTGCCTGATCCAGGATTTAATTTAAACCGAATCGGGATCGAATTTGCTGCCGTTCAGATGGAGAAAGAATTCTGCAGAAAAATAAGAGGGGTTTGGAAAGTGGTCTCTTGGTAGAAATTAGAATATCCCCGAGAGGGGACATGCACTGATTCCATTCAAAATCTAATCTGAAACAATAAATGATTCCATGCGAAGAGTTCATGCTTTTCAGTTGTTGAATGCATCGAGTGTCCTGAGCACACAGGTGGGACTTTGGCCGCACACGTGAGTCTTTTTATGATCGTATATTATTATTAATGGTAATAATAAAGTGACATCTTTCACAAACGCAGGCTTCCGCGTGATTTGGAAAGCGAAGGCAGATTTTCGCCCCCATTTGTTGGATGAAAGTGTATTTTGTTTCTCAAGGCGCCCTGAGTGTTAGAGCCCAGGAACGAAGCGGGGAGTGGAAAAACACACGAGAATCCATAACACGCGATGTGCATCAGTTCCCAGAACAGTGTCGTCCTTACTTCCAATGTGATACTCGTGTCGTGTTCTTTGGGATGTGGGGGGGTGGGGGGGGTGGGGGGGGGGGGGGTGGGGGGGCTTTGAGTGTAAAAAAGGTACACAGATCGGTTCTGGATTGCGTGAGTTTCTGCGAGTTTAACACACGAACACACACACACACACACACACTCAGGGCTTCTGTCTCTTTAAGAATACAATCTCCTGCCATGTGAATACAACCAAAGGGGGGGGTGAGGGGGGGGGGGTGGGGTGAGGGGGGGGGGGGCAAGGAAGGGGGGGGGGCAGGGAGGAGCCAATATCACGTGAACTCAGGGCTACAATTAGCAAAGTTGAAGCAAAGGGAAAGACAGACAGACAGACTTTCTGAAACAAGTCACCCATCAAGAGAGAAAGAGAGAGGGAGAGAGAGAGAGACCAGTGCGTGTCAGAAACACTCAGAGAACCAACTGGAGAGTTCGATGCAAACTCACACACTCTGCATCATTCCGCGCCTGGATACTGTAGATTAAAAACTTTGAAACCTCCCCCCCCCCCCCCCACCGCTTCCCCTCAGGGCTCCTGATTATTCTGGCTTGGGCTGTAAGTACAGTATTTTTTTTCTCTCTCTCTAAATATCTTCTGGGGTTTTTTTTTGGGGGGGGGGTGTTGTTGTGTCAGTAATCTGTTCAGTTTGGGCTGGAGTTTTTATCTACTGAGTTGTCTTATCTCACAGATAGTTAGATGATACAGTGTGTGTGTGTGTGAGGGGGGGGTCTGAGCTACAGTGAGCAGCAGCACAAGGCTAACGATATCGTTTTGGGATTTGTGTGATCACTGATAATAAAAGTTTTGAACCTTTAAAGCAGGACAGTTAAGCTTACGTTTATTTGGTCCATCAGATGCTTTGCTGCTCCCCCCCACCCCCCAAACTCCTGTTTATATGGATGCAAGCGACTGCAAAAGTTACTCAAAGAGTACAGTGAGATTGACTTAAAAGTTATCTGGAGGTGGAACAGCTGTTCGGCTTCGTTGTGTGTTCGGTTACTTCGGATGGACTCAGTTAAACGTGGCTATTGCACAGCCCAGAACCCAGACTCGGGGACTTGGATTGGCGTTGATTTTAGTTACGTGTGAAAGGCGAAAGCTTTTTTTGGGAATATTTGCAACATCGAAATGCAGGCGAGAGCATCCACAAACCTGCAACCGAAACTGTTTTGCTCTCTTGAGAGTGTGTGTGTGTGTGTGTGAGAGAGAGAGAGAGACACACACACACACACGGAGCGACAAGGTTTTTGCACGTTAAATTTCAGGTCAAGCGATCGTATTATATATAGTCGCATTTCGGAAATGATCCCAGTCCGAAAAAAATATAGGTTTTTTAAATTTCTTTCGAATGCATTTCAACCAAACCGATTGCAGACTGTTGTGTCATTGCAAAGCTTCACAAACACTTGGCAAAGTTAAACATTGCACATCAAGATAGGAGAGTGAGTGAGTGAGTGAGTGAATGAGTGAGTGAGTGAGTGAGTGTTATCGCTTTTTAACGGAGACAAAAAAACTTATGGTATCACAAGGAACCGAATACATGCATTGAGTGTACTGGCGATCAGCAAAGGGTAATTCCCTCCTGTTGTTTTTTTTTCAGGTGATATTTTTTCTCTCTCTCTCTCACCGACGAAAAGAATTCTTGAAAGAGTGGATAGAGTTGGTGGGCTGGTTCAACACTTAAAGAGAGAGAACGCGAAAGCGGCGATGAACTCGTGCTAAAACCGACGAAAATTAAACCAGAAAAGCAGCAAAACGACCACTGAACGTAATCTCAAACTTCTATTTCGAAAAAAAAGAGAGTTCCCGTCTGCTGGCCCGGAACTACGACTTAGAAAAAAATGTATCCGAGTTTAGCGTTAACAGCAAACCATGGACAAGCGGCCTATTCCCACGACGCGCACGGTAACTTCATGCATTCGTCCACCGCCTCACCGGTGTACGTGCCCACCACCCGGGTGCCTTCCATGCTCCCGAGCTTACCTTACCTGCAAAACTGCGACTCAGCACACCACCAGAGCCACCACCTGAGCAGCCACACGGGTTGGCCCCAACCAGGCGCCGAGGGGACTGGTTTCAACCCCAGCAGCCCACATCCCACCACCACCTTCCCCTACACCCACAGCCCTCCTCTCAGCAGCAGCGCCTCCAGGGAAGCGGCTTACAGCACCAACCCCCTGCTCCTCGGCTCCGGGGGCAGAGAGCAGTATGGCAATGCGTTGGTTCGCTCTGTCGGTGGATCCTATTCCAGCCCTTACGCTACCTATGTGGGGCCCGAGATGACTTCAGCCCCGTGGCCTCCCGGGCCCTTCGACAGCAGCATGCTTCACAGTTTACAGGCGAGACAGGCCTCCATGTCTGGGAGGATAACCAGTCTGGGTAGGTACCTGCAATGGGAACAAATGTACATCTGCATGTCTGTATGGGGAGTGGGAACGCTAAATTACTGAGATGACGATTGATTGATCCATGTGGATGCTCAGGGATAGTTTTAAATAGTTTTAAGCTCGGTTAAACGCACCGAGCCATCTATTTTGTCATAAAAAGTTAAAACATACTTTGTTCCATTGTCACATTGTGCCTTCAGAGCGCAATAATAGTTTGCTCTGAGGCCTGTTGACATCGATTAACCAGCAGGGGTGAAAGTTTATTCGCATCTAATGACCATTAGCGTTTTGACCCAAGGGTACAATAAGGTAGAGTATGTGTATGTGTGTGTGTGTGTGCATAAGGTGTAGTCTAGAGCGACAGCAGAACCCTTAACCCAAGGGCAATAGTTTACCTAATTGCCTAAAATTACAGTCACCCTTTGATTTACCATAGCCTCTATCTATCCTCCTTAAGGGGGGAGTTAAGCAGAGTTTCCTTGGAGCTGAACTGGCTGGCAATGGAATGTCGGAATCGAGTCAGCCCTCTGTGGTGGTCCAGGTCGTCCGGTTCCTGAGCTGGGCAGGTCTGCAGTATTCCAGGGCACTCACTGCTGATGACAGCACAGCACAGCCTGGCTCATCGCCAGGACCTGGAAGGGCCGACCAGTCACTGGGGGCAGGGAGTCAACCCATCCAGCAAGCCAAAGAACTAGAGGGTAGGGTGGTTCTAGCTGGACAAGCAGCAGAAAGCGTGGGGGACAGGAATATCAATGGCAATATGCGGTTTTAGCTGGTTAGACTCCAGCAGTACCCCAACGCACAGTCTGGGGTTCCCAAGCCAATCTGCGCCTAATACTCTCTGGAATTAGGTAAGCAGGATGCCCCCCCACCACCCCTACCCCCCACACCCCATTTTTCAATGAACAGAAAGTAAAACACCAAGATAATATAATAATAATCCTTGTATTTGATTATAGCAACTTATCACATCACCCAAACGTCTCAAGAACCTCCCAGGATAACACTGTACTGTAAAAGTGATGTGCCTGTGTGTGTTTTGTGGGTGTATACATTAATTCCAATTTTATTTGTTGAATTTGTTCAGGAAAATAACACTTATCCAATCAAACCACTTAATACACATCACTGTGTTTTCGTTCTGGGAAAGTAAAAGTGTGGAGACAATTCTTATAACTATTAACTGGATTTCTGATCAACCCACTAGTCATTTAATGGGACTAATTAACATCTTATTCTCTCTGAGTGTGGATTTTTGAGGGAAGAAAAAGAACTTTGGATAGAAATGANTTTTTTTTAGTCATGATTCTCTGCTACTTTTTGGTAAATTCTCCTATCGAAGATTCTAGGTATCGCTGCTGTGATTTAGATCACTTTTCTGGAAGGAAAGGTGTGTGCTTGCTACACACCCACATACACACACAAGTATACACACACCAAAAATACGTCAAAACATTCAGCCATCCCTTGGCGGGTGCAGACACATTTGTAGAAACTAATTTTGTAGCCCATAAAATATAATGTCAATTCACTTTATAATATACTTGCTGTACCCGTTGCAGCTACGCTTGCAACCAGTTTCATTCAATCAGCCTCCTCTCTTGCGGCTGGCGTTTTTATTTGTCCTTGAAAGGCTTGATCTTTGCTTCTTAGGCATCTTATCCCTTAACATTAAGAAAATGTGCTATTGAACTGTTTAGCATCCCTTGTTCACATATTTGCACACATATCCTTTTGGGAAGACTCAATGGGAGGAATCCTGTTGGTGTCTCTATGTTAATCGGTTAGACAGACACACAGAGAGACATTTCGTCTTTGTCAGCATAGATGTTTCTCTCTAGAAGGGTATGTGATTTCCACTGTCAATACTTTGTTGCAGCGTACCATGCATACCTTTCTTGGGGCTTAAAGTATTGTTTAATACATTTTTTAATGTAGCTCATCAACGATAGGAGATCCCTTAGAAAAAAAATATGCCCATTACACTTAACCATGCAAGACCTTTCCAATGAGGTATAAATCATGTCTCTACGTCAATTGTTCATTGCATTCTTGGCGGACGGACAGATACACACACAGACAGACGTTTCGTCCTTATTAGTATAGATTATGTGAAGCACTTTGAGACATCTCAGTGATGTGATATGGCGCTATATCAAATGCAAGGATTATCATTATTATTATTATTAATTTTTTAACCTGAAGATTTCCTTTCTATCACAAATATTTATTCAAAAAGATAGGAATCAATGTATGGGAATTGTTAGGGGGACTTGGAATAAGATGAATCGAGTTTATCTCCTGGATTAGATACTGTTCCAATAAAGCGTTTGCCTTAATTCATCAACAAGTCTGATTCCATCAAATCTATCTCCCCACTCTTTTAGCTTTGACTTCAAATACTTTTAATAAACCCACAGCAACTGTTATAAATGATACATTTTAAGGAATGACCCATCTGGTGGATTGTAAGGAATTCTTCTCGGGTTGAGTTTTTTTTAGGAATATGCCCCCTCCTTCCCAACAAAATTAAGATATCTTTATATTCCCCAATGTGGGGGGGGGGGGGGGGTGGAAAAAGTTTATCCATTGACTTTAGGAGAACTCTAAATTGATCATTTAATATATAACATAAAGTGTGTATTTGAGCCTTTAATTTGCCCACAAATATACAGTCAATTAACTTTACATTATATCATGTGAAGGGCTTTCAGACGTCTCAAAGATGTGATAAGGCGCTGTATCAAATGACAGAATTATTATTATAATTATTATTATTTATGCCACAGCTGGGAAATCTACCCTCAATTCTGTATACCGTGAGCAAAACACGACAACAAACTTCACACACGTTAAAACAAAATTGAGGTTTGTTCTAAATCGCTGATACTTCGCCTGATCTGGACTTTCGCAATGTTTTTGGAAGGACTTTAAGAAGTAACAGCGATGTTTAAATGGATTGGTTGATTGGCCTTTTAAAAGCAATTTACTGGACCACGTAAATTCAGTATAGACTCTAATAAACGCTCTGATCCAAACAAACCCACACAAGTGCCGTCTCCTGTGCTGCCCCAGTGCAGGGTAGACAGAGAGGCAATTCACCATCAAACGCTGTATAAATATTTATATATATATATGTATATATATATACATTCGCTATTTAGCTTATATTCCTTCGCTATTCAGCGTCAACTTTTAAAGCGCCATCGATCAGTCATCAGTGGATGTATCGACTATCGCCCGCAAAATACACGACATCAGTAGATCACTGCAACTTTCGCAATGGAATGAATTCGTAACAAAAATGGGACTATCGCGATTGGAATTGTTTTATTTCGGTGTCGAACCACTGAGTCGGAGCTGCACAGAGAGCGACAGAGACCGCAGTTTAGCGTCGGGGGTTACATTCGCCTGAGGTTAACGGGTCTGTGCTACACACCAAAAATCTAAATTTTGGGTTCCCCCCGAATTCTGATTTTAATGCTAATTTGGATTGATATAGTTTTTCCCAAAACAAATCCCCCCCCACACCACCGCCCCCACACCCAGCGATGCATTCAACGCAAATCGGATGGATTGGGGTGCGATGGTGCACAGTACTCGCTCCCCTGTTGGCGATGCTTTCCATATTCCAACACCTGTATTAATTATTATTAATATGTCATATTTTAATCCCGACTTTCCAACGAAAAACTTGACCGCAAACAGAGGGGATACACCGCTTGTGCCGAGAAGCTTTGCATTCGGCTCTGGCAGCCAATACCTCCTTCACACACACACACACACACAGGAGACAGATGCATCTGCGTTTGCCCTGAAATAGTTGCTTTGTTATTGTTATTATTATTATTATTATTATTATACGTGTTATTTTCAGAAACAGTTTCAAATGGCTATTTTATGTGAGTGGAGTGGAGTGAGTGAGTGAGTGAGTGCGTGTGTGCGTGTGGAGGTGGGATGGGGGACTTTGATATAGATATATATATAATAGATATATAGATTAAATAAAAGGTTTGTTGGCTGTACATCTGCGGGAATGGATCCAGGAATGTGTGTCCCCCTGTGCCGGAGCCCGTCGTGTGTCACCAGCCGAGAGCAAGAGGTGCGATTGATAAATCGGGCAGTGGATCACAGTGCGTCCTGTTACCCAAACGAGCGCTCCATCAGTCTTGTGCGCCAGTCTCCTTGTCGCCACCAGTCAACATCCCACAGCAATTTGATGGAAAACGGGGACGTTTGGCAGAGCATTACGATTCATATCACTAAAGCAGCCTTTCCCTTTCCCTCCCCCCCCCCCCCCCCCCCCCCCACACACACAAAAAAATACCTACATTTCTTTTCGGTTTGGGCTTAGAAATTATTTTTTGGTGCAGCCTCGAAATTTTTATTATACAACACTGACTACACCTACACACACACACACTATACACACACACCACACACTACACACACACTACACACACACACAAAGAAGGAACACGATCGAATAAAAATAAACCTAAAGAAATAAAAAAAATGAAAAATGATAAAAAATTGAATAGAAATATACCTCTTCTCGGCACTTTTTCGGTGTCGTTTTTTTATTTCACGATTGCGTTGTAGTTTGTTTTTAAATATCGTCCCTTTTATTTTTCAGTTTGAATGGTCAAAAGGTGTTTATAAAGGACACAGTCTAATCGCATACACTGTGTATTTATTTATGCGTTTGTTTGTTTGTTTGTTTATTTAATTTTTTTTCTTTGTAATGTTTGTTTCATAAATGTCACCAGGAATTGGACTGAATATTGTTCAGCATAAACGCATATTAACTTTTTTTTTATCTCCCCCTCTCTCACCCCCACCCACCCCCCAAAAGAAAATGATAAAATAATAAATATTCGAGTCCTTATCAAATCAGGGGGAAAGCAGAAATGCTCTTTTTTTTTCAAACACACTTCAGTAAGCAAACTCAAAATTTTATTCGGCTTCGCTACTTTATAAATACTTTTCTGTGAGTTGTTCAGATGTCCTGGGGGTCTGGAAAATACTGTGTCGAGGTACCCTAAATATTTTTAAATAACCTGGAATCATTCTACTACTACTCTAAATAAGTCTTTTCAAAAAACTCCTTAAAAACAAGTTGTCTGAAACAACTTCAATGTTAACTCTTTCTAATGGATTTGATTCTGAAGGGCTTTCACAAACCTTGCAGGCTTTCTTCCCAATTTATGTTGTTTTAAGTATCATGAAAATAATGTTGATTCCTTAATAATAATAATAATGATAATAATAATAATAATAATGTTTGTGTTCTGAGCCACACTGAAATGTTCCAATGCGATTTGTTCTTGTGGTTGAATTTCTGTGGATCTGAAATGTTGTGAATTGTGGCTGTGAATGTGCAGAGGGGGTTAACCCACTTTATTATTTATCGTTGCATCTGTTCAAAGGAAATGCATTGCGGTGCGGTGCAAGTGGACGCTTTCTTGGGTGTGGGGTGTAAAAGGAAGGCACGCGTGGGTTATATTTTTTTGGTAGAGGGCGCCCATCAATTCGTTCTGTAAAGACGAGGATCAGAAAAAAAAACAATTATGCTTGCAACACATTGTTTTATTCACCCCACCCCACAAAAAAAAGCAAAGGATTTCACGTAAGAGTGAGCAAGACGCAAGCTGGGAAATGAAGGAAATTATCATTGTGTTATCTTACATATAAATATATTTAGCAGGAAATATGCATGTTGATTTCTCTCTCTTTGTTGTGTCACAGCCAGATTTCACTAATTTTGAATTCCCTTCCTTTTTTTCGGTATTCGTTGTGTTTTTTATATATATATATATATATTTTATACATATATATAAATAAAAACACAAAGCAGATCTACAGGAAGAGATTCCCGAGGGCCGCGAGTGTGTGAACTGCGGTTCGATGTCCACCCCTCTGTGGAGACGGGATGGGACTGGTCATTACCTGTGTAACGCCTGCGGATTGTATCACAAGATGAACGGGATGAACCGTCCACTCATTAAACCGCCGAGGAGACTGGTGAGCAGTGCAGTGCAAACGTGGGTCTCAGCTGAACAGAAACCCAGCAACACAGTGTGTAGCAATTTACCACCTCTCCCAAGTTGCCACTCATTCATCTCTCACCAACCTCCTATTTGCTTCAAAGTAAGGGATGCATACATACGTTTCCAGAGCACCATGCCTCAAAAAAAAAGTGTGCTCTGCAGAGCAAAGCATAACGTGCACGACTTTGTTCCCGTTTGGAATTTAAAACGATAACCAGTGACATTTGTATGGCGCCTTTTTCAACCCTAATCGTCCCTTTGATAAAATGATCCTAATAATTCGGTCACTCAATCCAAGGCCGTTTGCGGGACACCGCTGTGCGCATTTGGATGCCGCGTTTCATCTGCAAAACATGCAGTCAATTCCTTTCACGGTTTATTCCGTAATAAGGCGCTATATCAAATGCAAGGATTATTATTATGTCACGTCGGGAGGATATCCCAAGGCGTTTTAACAGTCAAATTTTGCGATTATTGCAAAGGATTCTCCTTTTCTTTTAAAACGCATGACTTGTTTGTATATGTGTGTGTGTATGTATATGTGTATGTGTATGTATATGTGTGTGCATATATATGTTCTCTGCTGCAGTAATTTATTTACCGTTCGTCTGCAGTGCATTACAGAGATGCCGAGTTTATTGGTTTGGGACGTGAAACAGATATGAAATTGAATGTGTTGGCCGGGTTGGGTGCTGGTGGTGGTGGGGGAGGGGTGGGGGGGCGTGTTGAGAGAGGGAGGAAGGGAGAGAGGGAAGAATTTAATGTTACAGTCACAAAGTAATCAAATGCTCCATTTATTTGTCCTGTATTGTTGGACGGATGCTCTGTGCAGTCTTCTCGGTGCACTGACCCATCGCATTGCTTCACCAATGCATTTCATGTGATATTTATCGCCCTTCCGTGTAGAATAGTTGGTAAAAATGCGTCCCATTAATTGTTTTGCCTTTAAATACACTACATCGCCATGTTGGGGGTCAACAACTTCCTTGACAAGGTCAGAGTTGTGAAGAGGCGCCCTTTAGAGGCCTAGTCTCATTCTAAATAAACTATTTGGGCCATTAACCATATAAATTATTTTAGTGTTGTGCCATCTCATAGGCAGGACAGGAACCTTGACTTTTTTCTCTCTGTATGAAAATGACACTCTTACACAAAGCCTAGGTTTCCTTGCACTGTTACATCCCAATAGCTAACAACTTGTGTAGGGCCACAGAGGTGACACCCTGCAATATGTTGTCAGGGTCACCCTTCTAATATTCCCCTCTGCAGAATGAGGATGAAATATTAAATTGCAAGTCGCAAGCTAGAATCCTGTTTTGTCCAGTGACTCGGCACTGTGCAGAGTTTCAATTGCTGTGGAGTATAAATGCAACAGATTGAATTCAATCTGTCACTCTTTTCATGGTGACTTTTCAAGCATCTTGTGTTACAGTCATCGTCCAGGCGTGCGGGTCTGTGTTGTACAAACTGCCATACCTCCGCCACCACTCTCTGGAGAAGGAATGCTGAAGGGGAGCCAGTATGCAACGCATGTGGACTCTACATGAAGCTACACGGGGTAAATGCTTTCTTCATTCGCTCATTGCACTTCTGTTCACTTGATATGACATACCATTAAATGAACATCAAAGACAAAGTATACACATTTCTCCTGAAATCAGCATCACCTGTAACATAGCAACTTACTGCTCCATTTCTTGACTTCTTGTTGCCTACAATTTTGAAGGGGAAGGAACTAAAACCTGATTATAGAAACATTAATAATAATCATCACGTTTAATGTAGCACCTTTCATGTTGAGAGACGTGTCAAAGGGCTTCACAGGATTACTATAAAGGATGGTAACTGCAGTTTGCAGACTATATTTAGTGAGCATCACATTTTCTTGATTGACAGCATAACCGGACAAACATATATATCCGCATAAAGAGGCTGATGTGAAAATCCTGGTATTTTCCACCTGGATGATAAATTCAGTGTCTCTTGTCTTGTAATCGTAATACAACCAATCACAGAAACAAAATGGGGGAAACCTTTAGTTTTTTTTCTTAACCGCGTATCTGAGACTTGTGGAAATGCATTACCATTGCTAAGAGTCTCCAAAACTATCTACTGAGTGGCTGACATCTGTATGGCTTTCGTATGTCTGGAATGGAGTGCGCCCTCTCTTCGCAAACCTGGAGAAATTTGTTAGTTTGTCAAGAGCCTGGGCTCAGTGATCCCAGAGTACAAGCTGGTGATTAACCGGCTAAATCCACAAAGCCTGTCATCAGTTAAGCTCCCTGCTATCTGTGCAGGCTCTGAAGGATCGTATACACTTAAGAAGATCATTCAGACGTGAGCAATAATGCAGTCGTTCGGGAGCGTAACATTAATTGAACCTTAATGTAGGATTAAAGTGTGAGATGATTTTTAATGCAAGGTGAGACAGTGTTTTATGAACATTGAAAAAACTTGACATTCCAGGTAATAGCCTAATTTACTTTGCTTTTTGAACTCACTTCATAACTTCTCTAATGTATTACTTCATCATCTGCTTTTTAAAGGCAACAGATTGTACAAAGCCTCATTATAACTATAATACAGTCATACAGACTGTGTTTTGTTTGCCTTCAACCCATCTTCAAGTGGTTGTAGTAAGCAGATATTTCTATTTATTCTCGTATTTATCTTGATGATTTCTAATATCTCTCACGAATTGTTCCACGGAATTGTGACAAACTTGTAACAAACTGCTTTGTTTGATGGTTCGTGTTGTCTAGGAGCCAGAGCATTAAGTGACTGCAGATGTGTTGGAAGGGATATTGACAGATGTTTGCAATAGATGAATTGAAAAGAATTATTGTGGGACAATGTAGTTGAAGGAAGTGAGTCTCCAACTACTGTTTTTGCCTTTGAATCCACATAATAACTATTCTGACAGCTCACCAGGCATCTTCATAATTCCATGGAATGCCTGACAAGGGAATTGAGCAAATACTGAAAGATAAATGAGGATTTTTAATGTCATGAAAAGTAGCTGGATGACAGAAATCTTTGTACAGGTACGCTAGAATTGAGAAAGGGTCACATCTGGTCTGTAAGCAGACATTGAGAGCAATTGTTTTGGTTTTCAAACAGCGTATCTTGAGACAGAATAAGTGTTGAGGAATTCCAGCAAGCATCCTTATGGTATCATCCACTCCATCAGATAAATGATATGTATAATAATAATCCTTGCATTTGATATAGAACTTTATCATGTCTTTGAGACGTCTCAAAGCGCTTCACAGAATATACCGTAAAGTGAATTGACTGTATATTTTGTGGGCAAAATGCGGCAGCCAATTGCACACAGCAGCGTCCCACAAACAGTCGTAGATTGAAGTGACCAGTTCATTATTACTTTTTTGAAGGAATTTTTTTCTGATGTAGTTTGATCGTGTGGTTGATAATGGCTAAAATATGCACCCGGGTGTACTCCACTGACTGTAATGACAACCTGTTAATAAATCCATTGATTTGCCTTTGTTATGCCTGATGTTTCATGTGAAATGAAGCACATTGAATAATGTTATTTTAGGCTTATTGTTTGTTTACGCTGGTTGCATGCAAAAGGGCATTTCAGATTTGAAGGCTCTTGTCAACCTGTGCCTAATACTTTAGGTAAGCAGGATACATCCCTCCAGCGATGCGAGTGCTCATTTCATTCCAGACTCACGAAATGTTAATGTGTAAGTGGAACTTTCAGTCAGGTTTGGGTACTCTTAAGCATGGCGATTGGCTTCCTTCTTATCATACACATAAAAAAGAAAAGTAGTACTATTGTAATAGTGCATTTAATATAGTGTCTTATCACAATTTCCATGCTTTACTTTTGAGGTTGTGTAGGCAGCTGTGACAACAAAACTGCACCAGATACCATGAGAGCTCTCTGCTCGTTCTTCTACGGGATAATTTGACGCCTACAAAATTCTGCCTATAAAGTACGCAGTCATTACATTTTACAATAAATCCGGTGAAGCACTTTGAGATGCCCTGCTTATCGGAAAGGTGCTTTATCAAATGTAAAGATTATTATTATAGGCCAGGACCTCAATTTACTATTTTGACACTTTCAACAATGTAGCCCTCCCTAAGTGGTACATGCATTCGAGTGTCATCCTAGATTGTGAGCTGTGTAGTCTGTTGTATACGAGGTGCGTTAGATATGAATAATACAAGAAGAAACTAATCTTCTCGTACTTTCTTATCAAGGTACCCCGACCGCTGGCCATGAAGAAAGAAAGTATCCAAACAAGAAAAAGAAAGCCAAAAAACGTGAACAAATCTAAAGGATCTTCAGGTAAATAGCTCTCTCATATTCTTCATATTCTATTTATTGAAGTGACCATTTCATCATCCCATGGTGCTATGGATAGTCAGTAGAAAAATCAGTTTGTCTGCTGTCAGACCATTTCTGTTCTATAATTGGTCACATTAAAACGTTAGAAAATATTTTGTCTCCTCTTAGAATGTTATAAACTTATTTACATGCTGGGAACTGAAGGCACTAAGTTGTGTCCTAACTCTTCATGGTACAACGTGTTGGTGCAGAATGTCTGTACTATCATAGGAAAATAGAGGAGAAAACAAGAGGATACCATTCAGCACATCCAGCCTTTTGTTTATTAGGTGCTGCCGATCTTTTTAATCCCAATTCCCATTTCCCTTAATACTTCTACTACCCAAGTATCTGTCTACCTTTTAAACATCCTATTGGTTCCGGCTGTACAGCTTTCTGAGGCAGAGCATTACACATCTTGAGAATACTCTGAAACTGTTGATTCTGATTCTAAGGCTATGTTGGAATCAGACTCATAATGTAATGGATGTAAAGTATCCCGCAACCAAAGGTCATCCACTACCTCAATCAAACACTGCTTAACTTTCTCTGTTGTAAAATTGCCCCAAATATCTTCTCTGATAAATAAACAGTAGTTCATGCCATGTTGATAAGATCCTGCAAGAAGCACTTGCATTGGTATTTGATTGAGGATAGCGTTGGTGGTCATAGGGATAAGTGCAGACTTGCTTACTGGTATAACGTAGCCTTAATACTGTTAAATTCTTGTTTTATGCAACCAAGTACAATTCTCGCTTTCTTATAGGCTCAACGTCAGGCACCAATTCCCCATCTTCTATATCAAACTCTGAAAATGCATCAACTGTCAAAAATGATTCTGATCTGGCTTCATCTCCATTTGCAGGTCAAACTGTTGTGTCCGTGTCTCAGGTAATGTAAGAAGAAAATCTTGTGTTATTATTTATGTAATCAAATAGAACATATCTGAGAAGACAGAGGTGTAATCAAAGCCGATCCATTTGCAAAGCATCGACTTGGGAGTAAAATAAGCAAAAAAACTCTTAACGCTTCAGATAATTGAACATTTCTTGACATTAACTACATTTGTTTGGGTGTGTATATTTGGAACACCAATAAAATGTGAAGGAAACACGTTTAGCTAAAGATCACAATTAGCAAATATCAGTTTTAATAACACAACCAAAGTATTTAAAAATGCAGTGGATATTTAGTTTAGAAGCAATACTCTTGATTTGTTTCTCAAGTTGTTATTGCAATAAGTTTAACGGTTCTCATTTCTATAGGCTCCACGCACGGCGATGATGAGCCGAGAAGACGGTTTGAATCCTGGCCCTTCACAGCTGAAGTTTTTACCCGAAGATTATTCTTATACCTCAGCCAGCATGACCCCACAGACTGGAGTTAATCTTCCACTCAGACAAGACTCTTGGTGTGCCTTAGCACTGGCGTAAAGCATGGGCTTCCTTACAGCTTTTGGGTCAGCCTTTCTATGTTGTCGATGGATGGACAGCCCAGAACCCACAAGGATTTGGAACACCTAACTTGAATCCACATGATTTTTTGTGTACTTCTAGATGGTGCCATGCCTCAAGAAATTGTGTTGCATTGTCCATTTCAACAAGCTCTCTCGGTTCCTGATCTGGGTTCAAGTTTTATTTGTGTTGGTGAATCAATAATTATCAACATCCCTAGCAACAAAGAGAGCTTGTGTAACATATACTGTTCATCTCAGAAGTCTGAATGAAATCAAAACTTTCTTTTCAAAGTTGACGCCTTGTAAACTATTTGTGAGTGCAATTATTTCAGAAAATCAGTAAATAAAAGACTGATCCTCTTTGGCTGAATAACTTAATAATTTAACGGGAAAGTGTGAACAGAAATTAGTCTATGTTAAATTGAAATATCAGTTCTTTTTACGGACAAATATTTCACTAGAACATTTCAATATTGTATTAAAAATGCGGTCAGTTCCATTGTTTTTGTCTTAGAACTTGTTAAAATATTTCGGCTTTTTTAAGATGAAAATCAATTCATCTATAAATATTAAAAAAAATGTAACTCAAAGCTTCCAGTCTCTACACAGGAATGTAGATAGATTGTTAATGGGTAAGAAAATTCAGCGACATTTGGCATGTGTGTAACATTATAAAATGTTATTTTAACAACGCTAATGGTTTGCATATTTAAAAGAAACACACACATATGCTGTATTTACCTTTTGAGACACTGTTTTAAAATACGCTGTGAATAAAAATAATGATCATAAAACAGTCTTTTGTAATTTTATGTATTGGCTTGGGAGAACTGAAGTACAATAATATTTGCATTTCATATAACACCTCATCACGTTGTTGAAATGTCTCAAAAGTGGTTCATTATGAATTTTTAAGCGAATCTGGCAGCCAATTTGTGCACAACAATGTTCCACAATCAACCATAAAATTAAGTCCTAGTCTTATCCAGAGGACTTTTGGCCAGGGCGCTGGGAGAAACCTTTTTTCAAATAGTGCCATGGAATTTTTAATGTCCATTTGAACAGACTTGGTTTTAAAGTCTTGTCCAAAGGACGGCTCCTCTTGACAATACACTTCTTCCCCAGCACTGCATTGGAGTGTCAGCCTACACTCTGAGCTCAAAGAATCACAACGTGAGGCTTTTGAGCGCATCTGACTCCAAAGGCAAGAGTGCTACCAACTCAGTCAGCCTGACACCTGAAAGTATCAATCAAACTAGTAGAAGGTTCCCTGGGTATTACAATAGAATGACGAATACATACACTAACCTTACTGAGAAGCATTGGGAATTTATGCTAATAGGCAAATAATCAAATGCCCAAAAAACCCTGATTAAATATATAATTATTTTTGTTTCTAATCTGTAAATACTGTACTGAAAAAAACCTCTGAATAAAATATAGTATTATTAGAGCTATTTAGCCGTGGAAAGAATTCTGTATGTAAATTTAAAAATTAGATTTTGGCATTGCAAATTTTTTGATTATAACGGGATAAATGAGATGACAGATATATTAATTATGAAAAAATATGGTATGCAATCATTATTTTATCATTCCTGATATCCAGCCTACATGGTGAACTGATCTTATAAGAAACTAAACAAGTGGAGCACATCAAAGCTTTTTGTTACCTTAAGGAGTCCTCACTTTCCCCATTTCCGAAACTTGGATTCTGTATTAAGAAAGTTGGTTAAGAAAAGCCAGTCTTCAATAATCATGGCATGTTTAATTCACTCCATTTCTGGTCAATCACTTTTAACTTTGTAAATATGATTTCTACGACTTTCTAATATCTTGATGTATAACTAAAATACTTTGAAAATAAACTGAGAACCCAATATTTTCACGCATTCTGAGATTGAGTTTGTACAATTCTAGATGAGATAGTGTTAAATAAAAAGCTAGCTGGTTTTCCCTACATTAAGATTTCTCTTTTCAACCACACTTTCAGTCATCTTCCCACCCACACCTCAGAAGTGAAAATTATTGTGTTCTTTGAAACCTGACATGGAAAGTTTAAACTTTATAAAACAGCCCTTAGTTATTGTACTCTTATGCTGCAAGATAATCACAATATCAAATTAACAATTGAATTTATAAGCAAAAATTAACTCAAAGTAATAAATTTTGAAATTCAAGGGTAATAAAGTACATTTAAGCTCATTCCACTATGTCCATATCACTATGTCACTCTCTTACAAATTGCTGAGGGGAAGGAACAATGTGCTTAAGACCTATAAATACAGTACATTGGCAGATGAGTGATTGGAGAGGGTCTTGGACGGATCTCAGGACATTCCATTAGTAAAACGCTTACAGCTTAATTTCTATTAAACAAAACATCTGCTTTTTTGTATTGCCTTTTCCGATTAAATTGCACTCCAATCTAACCTTCCATCTCTAGTCATTTCTATTTTAATTGCTTTATGCCGACGGACCTGCCTTGAATCCACAAAATAGACAGCCAATTCACTTTACAGTATATTCTGTGAAACGCTTTGAGACGTCTCGAAGACGTGATAAGGCGCCATGTAAAATGCAAGGATTATTATTATAATCCCTGTTTAACTTGAGGACCAATGATTAAGTATCTCAGTGTATTCCTTCACTCGCCTGTGCTTTCCGTAATGTTACCAAATAGCCGTTTACAAATTAGTGTTGAACCAAACATCCTTGTGAAGTGAAACAACAGATTAATAATTGCCTTTTTACGGCAGTGGTGATATCTTTTCCTGTTACAACATTTTTGTTTTAAATTTAAAAAAGATCCTGTCGAGACAAACAATATTTCATCTCGTGTTTTGCTTTACAAAGAAGTTCCCTGTGGAATGATTACTTACAACTGTCAGGATGTTGTCCAATAATAGTGTGCTTAGTAAATGAGTGGATTGGCACAAGATTTCCTTGAATGGCTCTTCCTGCTGTCAGTAGAGCTTAAGAGTACACACCCATAAATTAATAAGAAAGAAGGAGATGCCCTTTGATACTTAATAATGCACATTGGAAATATATTATCTTCAATCAGTTCTAAGAGGCTTTATTTGATTGTGTTGCACAATATCTCTTTGATACAATGCTCTGGGCTATTTAATATTGGTGCATTAATCTAAACCAAAATGCTTTCATGTGGATTTATTCTGGTTATCCAGAATTCCCATCAAGGCATGTTTTAGGACAAAAGCCTAAAATGCCACTCCCAACCATATGGAAATCACAATGATCTGTATCGATAAAATCAGCAACATTTTACAAGCAACTATCTATGCCAGTCATGCTTGCTGTTCCGTTCTCAACTTTAAAAGAGTTTGGAACAAACGTCTTCATAAATGTCTTCATAATTCAATAAAGTTATGATGAACTGTTCTTTAAAGATTGAGCTATAATTTTTTAGTTGTGCTGTGCCTAGAAACCATATTGGAATCTTTTGGATTTGAATAACGCTAAAATACAGGAACATTCCTCATAGAGTATGAAATAAAGTGCAGAATTGTGGAGTGAAAGAAATTATATCATAAGAGCTTGTTTGTCGAAAAGGTCCAAGACATATCGAGTCTGATGACCACAATATGTACATTTTGTACCCTGTTGCAGTCAGTTCAAAGTGACTGATCAGTTCCAAAATAATGAAGCAATCACATAGTATGACTCTTTCACTTTCTGTTTATTATCATGCTAACCTGGTATGTGCTTAATATACCTCTAAATGAATATTAGTAACTAAAAGTTAGCTGAATTACAAGCTAAACAATAATAATCCTTACATTTGATATAGTGCTTTCACATTGGTTGGATGAATCAAAGCATTTCACAGGATTAATAATAATAATAATCCTTGCATTTGATATTGCACCTTATGCCGTTGAGATTAATTGCAAAGTCCAGGGCATTTACTGTGAATATTTGCTGGCAATAAAATAAACATCATCTGAATCCAGAGACTAAATTTTGCCTAAAAATGATTTATGCAGTGTCTGTTATCTGTTATTTATATATATAAAAGATAATAAACTTTTAAACATGGACTGTGTTGTGAAGTCTCTGAAATATGAACGATCCTTATGGAGTGTTTCAGTTTCTCATGTTGGCACAACAGAATGATTAAACTGCAGCATGCATTTTCCTTTGACCTATGCTTTAAGAGAAAGTATTATGCTAAGCAATAAGCTTTTGCCTGGCAACAATGCTGAAATCGATGTCTAAAACTAACCTATTGTAATGGTTGCTGCAGTCACAGCCAAAACAACCACAAGTCAAGTGTGTTTTGCTACTTGAAGACGTCTCTTATATGAAACTACAATATACAATCAACAGTTTAATCAATGAGGAAGTGAGGTCTTCCTCATTTATCTCTATTGACCTATCCTAAGACTCCAAGGTGTATTAATTGTATTTATTGCTGGTTACATCCATTATTAACACAGAGCACATGGGGAGAATTGTTGGTTCAATATGGTATTCAATGGGTTGACCTGATAATTATTGCAGAACATTATTGCTTGTATGTTATTTCATTGGCCCCTCTTCATTAAATTCCAAATATGCATTTGAAATTGTTTATTTGCTTTCGTATAGTTTTCTTGCTGATTTGATGTAGTCCAAGAGTCCATTTGATGTGGAAGCTTATCAGTGTTGTTTTGAAGGTGAAAATTGGTGCCTTGTGACTTGCACAAAGTACCAGTAAGTTTATGGCACATGACTTCAAAGTATATTGGAGCAGATGATATTTTTCTAGTTATTAAGTTATTTTTAATTGTTGATTGGTGAAAATGTTAGCAGTTTGCAATATGTTTATTTCATGATATTTGAGGCTAAAGAAATGAGAAGTATCTTAATGGACCTAGAAAGAATCCCAACAATACCTGGGGATAATATAAATGACAATTACATTGAATCCAGGTTAATGATAGTCAAATGGCCTCCACTGTAAGGTCTGTTAAATGCATATTGTATTCAGTTAAAATAAGCTGATTTGAAGCATGTCTTATATCTGAGCTGTTACCTTAAGCCAAGAAACCTGTGTTAAGTCTCCACACTGTGTTTCAGTGAACTAATGACTGAACCATTGTGCTGGTAAAGAGCTAAAATAACTTCATTTTAATAAGATTGTTGGTGATGGAATAATGCCATTAAAAAGAGTGATATTGCATGCTCTTTAAAATGATGATTTTATTTAGTATGTACTTCATGTCAAGCCTTTGGCTTTGAGTAAAGAAGAAGGCTGCTATATAGTAGAAGAAATAGAAATAGAAAATTATTTTTGTGTAAGTTAGTGGCCTTAAATGTGAAATATAATTCTAACAAGGTAAAACGTACTGGTGCAAAAAGTCAATATTGTCATAGTTTGGAACTGTGTCTCACTAAATAATACCTACCATCTGGTTCACTAAGATAACCAGTCTGCAGCATATATTCTATCAACCAATGCATTTGTAACATATTACCAAATCCTTTTTTTAAAAAAACAGACTAATCCAGCATCACGTTTTGAAGTGCGCAGATTTAATGAAGCTTTTTGTACTTCAGATCAATGGATGCGATAAGAAAATAGGGATTGTTCTTACCCAACCTACTGAGAATGGAAGAAACACCATCCAACAGTTTACTCCAGTTATCAATTGCAAACCAAGGACTAAGATTTTATTGCCAGACTAGAAAGAACTCTTCAGTTGAGTAAATATATGCATATTGTCCATCATTAGTGGGTGGGGGATATATTGGAATTAAAACTTCTGATGAATAATTCCCTTCAGTT